ATTCCTGCTTCAGGTGAAAGAAACCTGAAGAAAGCTGAGTAGTCCAATGACACACATAGCCAGCTATGGAATTAAAAGTGATTTAATGGGGGCAGAGCAGGAAAGATTCACTTGATTCCCCTGACCCCAATATCCCTCTTCAGATGAGCCCTGAGCAGTCAGAAGACTAGCTCAACCAATAAGCCTTTCAGCCTTATTCAAAAGCTCAGGAGCCCTCCAGACTGAGTGTGAGGAAAACTTTTTTAGAGGGTGCAAAGAGGGAGGGGTTATGACTCAGGGTGACAGCACATTAATTGTAAATGGGTTGCAGAAGTAGAATGGGAGAGGAGATTCAGCCTCTGGTGGTTGGCTCCTCAAGGGCTTGGCTGTGGACCACATTACTTCTGCTTGGTCTTCTGCTGAGCTGGCCCTGGGATAACTGGTGAAGGACATGACTCTGGAACTTTGGGGTGGCCGGGCTCTGGAACTTTGGGGTGGCAGGGCTCTGGAAGTTTGGGATGGCTGGGCTCTGGAACTTTGGGATGGCATGGCTCCTTGGTTTCAGGGACACATGGCTCCTGGGGTGGAGGCTGGCAGGGCTGTTTCACCTGCTGCTGCTGAGGCTCGTGGGGTGGGATGCAGGGCTGCTTCTGCTGGTAGGAACTCATGCTTCAAAGTAGGCTAGACCTAGAGACAGAAAAGCTGACTCAATGATTTGATTAAACAGAGAAGAAACCAAGTTAAATACCAAAAAGATTTCATTTTAGTTCCCTTTAGATGAGAGAGCCTCCCCTCCCCCCTAGCTATACATGAGAGTTAAAATATGCTTTGAAATTTCGGGGTCGTTTCAACAGGAGGAGCTTAAAGACAATTCGTTCTGCTCCGTTTCAGTGGGATTCATTGGCTCATTCCTTGGCTCTCTTTCTTCCCAGACATGTCATATCCCTCACTGACACATACCCAAGACAACATATTAAGTCTTTTGAAAAGTGATAATGTAGAAACAACCACAGCATACACACCCCTAGTACCACACAGAACACCTTGTAACTTATAGGATGACTCTATGTGAATCTGAGTTCCTACGACTTCACTCTGGCCTTTGTGTTCACCGTCCTCTCTGAAATGCTTCCCTTCCTATCTCTGTCTAAATACTCCTCCATCATAGCTCACTCATGTGCCATCACTGGGAGTTTTCTTGAGCAGAGCTCCCCCAAACTGCCACCACCCTTCCCTTCACCCTCCACACTTGTCTTATCTACTTTGCATTTCATCTATGTGTGTGTACATGCATTATCTTCCCTGCTAGGTTGTAAGTTCGTTGAGTAAGTCCTGTGACCATCTGATTCCTCCACAGTGCTTAGCATCATGCCTTAAATATAATAAATGTTGGAGAGGACTGGGGTTGGCGGCTTGAACATAGCCTGAAGGGGGTTAGTGCACCACGGCTAGCGGGAGGGAGTCCGGGGAAAAGTCTGCACCTGCTGAGGAAGCAAGAGACTTTTTCTTCCCTCT